GTCTATCTGGTTTTTGGTGTGTCCATCTGGTGAAATCCATTTCACCTTGTGTATATCCCTGTGTTTGAACATTCTGCCACCAATCACCAAATCCTTGAAGGCGCAGAAGTCTGAGAAGAGTTCACCGTTGTCGTTCATTTCACCGAGTGCCTCACGACCCATGGTCAGTTCTCTTCCTGTATTGTCTCCTCACAGTTTCGCATTCATGTCACCCACCAGGATTTTGATATCGCTCTTTGGGATGTTGTCCATTACTGCTTGAATTTGTCTGTAGAAGGCCTCCTTCTTCTCTTTTTCTGAGACGTTTGTAGGCGCATAGCATTGAACGATTGTAACCTTCCTTCCTCCCTTTTGAGTTGAACCTGGCTGTCATTATCCTGGAGGAGATTGGTTCCCACTGCATGAGAGCTTTGGCTACTGTTGGTGACATCATGATAGCCACTTCCTCGGTGTGCTCGTGGTCGTCCTCTGGGTGACCGGAGTAGATTATTGTCTCTCCAGTTGGTAGTTGGCACCTTCCACATCCGTTCCATCTGCTCTCGCAGATTCCCAACACTTCTATTTTATATCTTCTCATTTCTGCGGCTACCTGGGCAGCCTTTCCAGCTTCGTACATTGTACGAATATTCCACGTCCCCATCCTTATTTTTGCTTTCATCGAAAGGAGGCACATCGGCTGATTGGCTTCACGAAGGCTTTCATCAGCCTGCGTCATTTCACTTCCCCGATTCCAGCGAAAAATAAGGTTGTTTTTTATATTTTTAGTATTTTTAATATATTTGTGCGTTGAAGTTTTTGTAGCAATTTGGTTAAATTTTGGGGGTGGAGTTGCTAGCACCACGCCACAACCCTCCCTCTTTATCCGGGCTTGGGACCAGCTAGAAAACTAGTGAGCTAGTAATCTAGGCGAGGTTAAGACCGAGTACTTCGGTCCAATCAATCGACGGGAAAATCTAAAATTCAATTAAAATTAATATGACTCGTTGCACAAGAGGTGGCTCCCGTGGTCCCAGTGGTCTAGTGGACAGCGCTTTGGCGTTTGAAACCATGGTCACTGGGTTCGAGCCTCGGTGGGAACATCATCACTCACTGGTGAGTGCAGGTGCATCCAGTAACGAATCTCAAATAGGAAGAAATGCATATCCTGGATTCCACTGTTAGTCACCATCCACCAATTATTCATTAGCAATGTTTACAAAAAGCCTTATAGGCTGTTTTTGCGTAATTTGCTCAAACTAATGAAAGAAAGTGTTAAAGCACCTTTTTGGGAATTAATCTAGGTCAATCAAAAGACTAGAAATTTAATTTTTCATTGAGTGACTTTATTTTTAACCTTACACTGGCAAACTTGATCTGTTTCAATACACTTATGAATTCAAGTCGAATAAACGATGTTCAACATAATGAAATCTAGGTTGCATTTCCAATTGTGTTTAATTATGAATAAGCACTTCAGGCTAAGCCAGGAACTCGTTAACAAAATAGATTGACTATCCGTCCATCTGGAGAACAGATTTCTTTGAATTTTTTATGTATAAATTTATTTTTCTGAAAAAATAATCTACATATTTAGTGTGAAATAGAAAATTCATGGAGCAGATCAGCATTTATCTTTTTTATCTTTTCTATCTGTTGACGCGAAATTGTATATTGAAGTAAACTAAGAAATTATAATAGGAATGAACACACATGATTTCTTCTTGAAACTTCGACTTATTTTATCTCCAACTTCAAAAGATTGTAACGGATATGACTTCATCATTTTGTTGTTTTTTTGTTAAAACACTGAAAATGGATGAAATTAAACATTGTAAATTTATGTGATTGTTATTCCTTCGAATTCCCAGTGGAACACAGGGCTTCAACAACATATCTATGTTTTATCCTGTTCTCTGCGTTTCTCTTCAGTTGGTGCCACGATTGATCATAATTCTCATCTCCTCTTCATACAGCCTCCTTCATCTCAACCTCAGACAAATGCCCAACTCGTCCTTTCCAACTTGGGTTCTACACGAGCTCTGGCAAGGCACACGATGTCATCCGACGGTCCCCTGAGTGAGTATCCGATCCATCTCCATCTTTTTCAGAATATTTGTAAGGTGACAGATATTTGGGTGGTCCTTTCTCAGAGTTCCTTTTTGCTAATTCTTTCTGGCCGCTTATGTGATTTTCAAAGTCGATCAAGTGAAAGCAGGTATTGATTAAAGTGTTCAACTTTTGGCCTATGAACTACATAACAGAACTGACTTGACATTAGTGTTGCAAATTTAAATCCTGTTCTTTATACTGAATTCAGCAGATTTCCACGCTGATTTTGAATTAATGGATGTTTATTTTGCATTTCTGATTCTAGATTTGACATCCCATCCTGTAATTGAAACGATGTTGCCCAGAGAATTCAGAGAAACAAATTCCTTTAAATTTCTTCCACTGATAGTGATTTGTGCCTGCTGTTTCTGATCAAGTATCTTGATTACCTGTTTCTTCTCTATTTTAACGCGCGGAATTGTCTTCACTGCTTCTTGTGTTATTTTATCGGTTGTCGCCTGTAGGTCTTTGAGTTTGCGCGACATTCGGTTTAAACCGTCCGTGAAGTTCAGATCATCTAGAGTCTTCTTGTCAGCCCGACGTATTCTCCTCCTCTCACTCTCCACACTCTGTCGTGTGATCCAGGTTACCACAATCAAAGGTATCATCTATCAAAGTAGTCAGCCTATTCCTACTACTGTCTTCAGTTCAAAGGCTTCGCTGAGTTCTCTTTTGTTAATCCCTACACATATATTATCGAATTGCTACTGAATGAAGTTGACTAATGTTTGTAGCTCTGCACTCTGTAGTGTTGAAGCAGTGATGAAATCACTTCGCTAACAACACTGTGGAAGGCCTTCACGGAGGCGATGAATTTGAGGCAGTGATTTGACAGCCATTCTATGCTATATATATGCATATATATATATGTAATCACAGTGGTTTCAAGCACTAACGCTGTCAACTTTCTTCTTAATAACTAGAAGTCCGGTGTAGAATGGTCAAAAGCATATGTTTAGAGCAGGTGTATTATGAACGCAAATAATGTTGATTTTCATGTCATGCTATTTCAAAGGAGAGCAAATGTATAGGAAAAAATTAATTACTATTCAAATAATTTAAAGTTTTTATTCACCAGTAAACATCAGTCAGCACGAAGAAAGAGCGTGGAACGACCTCTGAGCCAATCCGTATGTGTACCCGCTGAAACGAAACTTAAAACACTGGTAGGTGTACTACAGGGCCTTGAGTGAGTTTAATAGCTTGTTATGAAGTAATTCCCAAACAAGCATTTTGGAATACACCACTCAAGTACAAACTTCTCAATTAAACCTATTTCGATGAAAATGAATTAATTATTTGATCGCCTTGTTTACTGTTACCTACGAAGAATAACTAAGCTTCGGAATTTCATTTTCGTCAACAAGCTGAAAGTCGGATGGATAACCGAACTAAGCAAGCATTTGTACACATTACAATTTAAATATGCAGATAATGCAGGTCACTGGCTAAATCACACTCGCACAGCTCGTGATAAAATTTTACCACAGTTTCCTCTGGAAACCAGATTTATTAAGATAATAATATGTGATCTGCTTGGTACTGTAGATGGCAATCGAAGAAGCAAGCATAAATACATGACGCTATATACTTCTGAATTGATACGGCTGAGCTGAATCAGACCGAGTAAACCGCTGCTGAGTTCAATCTCTAATGAGCAAATTAGGCGTCTAGTGTTCAGATCACTTCGATGAGCAGCTGTCTAGCAAACTAATGTGAGTGGCATGGAAATACTCACCTCAGTCCACCGGTAATTTACAGTTTTTCATGCATATAGGCAAATATGTGAGAAAGCCCGCAGAAATAAACATCTCTATTAAATTTATCCAGACAAATGGGGAGAGTACTTTGTATACAAACAGATAATGTGCTTCACTTCTTGTTCGAAAAATATTTACTTCCTGTTTGACACTTTTTTTACTTAACCATGAGGCATTCTTGTGTGATTTTAAGTGAAATTTATGACCAAATCTAGTCAGGAGTCTTCGGCCAATAAAAACCTTTTAAATACAGAATTTTGTTGTACTTCACATTGAACTTTGGGCGGAATATGCTGTCTAGATAGACAATAAAAGCTTTGCAACTGAACCATCCAACTCAGACGACACAACTACGCCAATATCTCATTTAAATGTAAGTTACAAGTCCTCTGCATCATATCATCATTAGTTTGTCAGTTTTTAAAATATTCACTTCTGTCACCATCATGTCATTCGGGTAAATGTAACTTCTAGTAAAACGGAAGAGGAATTTGCTAGTTTGGATTATGTACAGTACCTGGCTTGTTCAAAGAGCAGACTACAAGTGGTTTTATTTATTTTGATTTGGTAATCAGTCTTCAGAGTGTCGGCGATTCAGCGGTAGGGTGCTGGTGAACCAGGTGGTCTGAGGTTCGTGTCCCAGCCGATATACTCTTTTACCCGAGAAAGAGGGAATGTTGGGTGTGAGGCCAGCAACCCCACCCAGTAAAAAACACCACTGCTATTCAAAACTTCAAAGCGAAAGCTTGAAGCCCTATGTTCTACTAGGAATGGAAAGGAATAAAAGAAATTGGTCTTCAGTAACTTCTGAGCATACAGAATGACAGACAGTTGAATGTATTCCACAATTATAACATGGAGACATACTCACAATCCAAATATTTTTTTAAGCTGGTTACTGGAAGCATTCATTAAAACAAGTAAGACTTTAACAAACATTTTATAAAACACTCAAAATATTATTTTGATGATGAAATAAGAATTATTACGTGAGATTAAGTCATGAATTACTGACAACTTACAATAGATTAACAACAATTTAACCCTGAAATTCATTAATATGTTAACACTTTGTAATGTGAGTGAGTAAATTGTTTGAAAATTCAACGCTTACAAAAGCTAAGTCAGCTGTGGCTCGGTTTTCCGTTTGGTTTACGTTTGGTCCAAATTGTCGATAACAAATGAAATTTGAAGGACAGTTAGAAATACACTGGCCGCCAACAATCCGAAATGAGCATCTTGTGGACTAAAACATGAGATAATCGTTCTTTGTACCTGTCCGTTTAACGATTTTTCGTAGAATGCATAATTTAACAACTGTTTTATTTCGTTTATTTTTAATGATAAATTATAGTAGACATCAGTTTCAACTACACGTATAATGCCTATAAATAAGACAAAAAGATTTATATAAGTACATCAGGCTGCATAAACTCAAAAGCAGTAGTTCGTCTTTGTTATGATCAAAGTAGAGTAAACAGGCGTGTATGTGTTTCAGACTCCTAACCACTGCTTGAGGATGTCGCGTTCTACTCAGCAATATTCGGAAAACTACAAGCTTCAGTTAAGTACTTTCCTTATTTAAGGCACAAGTTATAATCCATGAACCATTAGAGCGGGTCCCAGTGGCTTAATAGTCTGCGAGCTCGCCTGAGTCCTGGGTCTGAACCCTGATAGTTGGTATTTACGGATTAAGAGTCCCAAATGAGGACGAAACAGCTGTCCAGTACTTCCAGATTCTCCAATCAATCTCAAGCCGATGTCAGCTCATGATGAAATCCTGAAGTAAAATTAAGCTGTTTAAATGTCTAGAAGTGAGGTTGTTTCCATGCCCAGCAGTATAACTTTCAACGATAATGTGATATTTGAAGCCGAGTGGCTGAAGATGGAAAGGGTAAAAAAATAGCAATACTGCAAAACGAATTTATTTTGGTTACTCATAAAAGTTTATTCACATGAATTCTATGTTTACGAAAGAGAATCTGAATCTGAAGTTCATCAGATTAATAGATTTCCAATCACCATGACGTTAAATTCAGTTTAGTGGAAATAATTCTTCATATATTTATGTCATTCAAATCGTGAGTGGTATTGTTCCTTTCATGACATAAGCCATAGAAACTCATTTTTCACAGTTTACATAAACATTTGGGTTCCGCTCTTATCTAAAAATCAAATTAACAGACAGTTTTTCAACTTCATTATTTTACTTATTGTTTACAATTTGAACTGCGAAAACACTATTTATCAAGTGTCATTTATGCGCAGTGTTAATTCCTTCCGTACCTAACCTTTCGCTTCTCTTTCTTTTGTATTTAGCTTTATATTACTTATCACTTGTAAGTAGTCTGAGTTTATATTTTGTTTCACCGTAACCGTTACCGTTTTTTTGCTATTTATGTCAATGTATTAATATTATATTCGACGATATGTTGCAACTATCTTCTTATAGTTAAACAGTATCTGCTTTATATGCCTCGTTTATATACTCCTGTCCGTTGCACACTGTTTGTTCAAAGCCCTGTATTCTTCGTCTTGCATTCGTTCACTGTGTAATCTGACCGTGGACTGCCCTTGAATCAGCTTTGCTGTTTTTTCTTACTGATGCACAGGGATTGTGCATTTGATGGGATTCAGCCTTAGATACCCCAGAGCTTGAGGTGTTTAATATGTTATCGTACTTAAGACAAATTCTGTGTTCTGGATTTTACGCGTAACTCAGTGCGTGTAATAATTAGTCGATTGGATTATCGCACCGGATTTCTTAGAAGAAATCTACATGTACATTGTAATCTTGTTTGTTAGCCTAGCCAGAAAACACTGTATGTTGTCATGAATGCACTTAGTAAACAATGGAATTCTGCATTTAGCGTCTTTATTATACAGCTGTATATAGTGTGAGTGATTTTAAAACGATTTTGTAAAATTTGGGCCCATTTCTACATTTTAATGGTTTACTATGTTTATCTATTGTTTTAATACTAAGTAACTACTGGTTCTCCAACAGTCAAAGCAAGGGTGAAAATGACATGCTAAAACAGTGGGATTAGGCTTAGTTCAGTAAGAAATTTCGTGGAACTCAACATTTTCTGTTCTTATCTTTCTGAATATCTACTAAATGATAATAAATTTGAAACAACTCGTTCCATTTATGAATTTCATCAAAGCGATAAGGAAACATAATTTATGTGAATCGTGTGGTGTATTTGCGTAACGCATTGAGAACAGTCTGACCAAAGACGTACTTGTGGTGGGAGTACATATGAAAATAATAAAGCATTAAGGGGTGAGAATAGACATAGGTAAAGTTAGAAGGCCACATTGAAGATCAAAATAAAAATAGAAATCACCAAACCGAAGAAGGGAGGTAATAGTACATCTGCCTTTGTATCAAAACGAAGTTTACCAAGGAAGGTTTAATGTGATAATGAACTGTTTTTGAACACATAAAGGTGGGGGCTAGGCCTTCCAAACATGTGTAAACATCAATTTTATGCCCTGTGTCTATAATGTTTCGCTACAGCGGAACTAGATCGTCTGTTCTATCGATCAATGGGTTCAGGAATTCGCATTTGCTTCTGAAACCAATTAGAGATATGCTCTGGAGCCCTTACTTGCAAAGATCGATTAGTTCTCCCTGTGAATATGTAACCACACGCACATTTAAATTACCAGATACAGTGTGAGAAATGACATGATTTTTCTTGTGTTCTAAGAACTTCGACGAATAAATGGGCTTCATATGCTCAATTATTCGGATTTCAGCTGCATAAAAAGTCTTTTTCTAACATCACCATCTAATCCTTGTCTAATTACCAGGCTACTATAATCACCCATATAGGGTGGCTTCAAATATACGTCTTTCTTGGCCGCTAGTTGGAGAATGGATCTTGGTGTCTGGCCTCTTCATATCCCCTTATGAGCTTGCTCTGGAAATCTGTTATCAGGCAGACTTTCTGTCAGTTTCCCTTCCTCATCTTCAAGTGTATCCTCTGTGCACATTCGTTGAATCTTAGGAAAGGGGCACCTCACTAATAGATCTTTTGTGTCGAACAGGAGAGAAGCTGTGGTGGGTTTTCTATAAACAGGTCGTTTTGTTGACCAATTAGGCCGTTGACTAAGCAATATATCTAGGAAACATAAACAACTATCTTTCTCTTCCACAGACGTAAGTGATATGCTATTCTGAAATTTGTTCACTTGATTTAAAATTGCAGTGGCAGAACAAGGCTTATCTCATATGATATGACATCGATATATCTTTAAAGTGGTACATTTTCAGTTGAATCTTCCGATTAACTCTTAGTGTACGACATATAGATATCTGCTAGCAGGGGGGCCCTAATATACTTCCCATAGTAACACCATCAATTTGATGGAAGCAATCACCTTCAGATGTGAGTCTAACATTGCTAGTGCATAGAAGCAATAAATCTCTTAAATAATTATGTGTGGAAAGTAATCACACAAAATGTCAATTGTTTCAAACAAATATACATCAGTGAATAAAAAGTTCACATCAGAAGAATACATAGTTTCATTTACAATATTAATACCATCAATAATAAATTTACTTTTAAATGTTTTTCAGATAATAACATCTAGGCAGATACCACCTACCGTTTCCTATAAGAATGACAATCAAAGTGAGTAAAATGATTGTGTCTTGACCTGTTATTTTAAGCTGCTTCGTGCATACTAAGAAGCCAGCATAAACTGAAGTAAACGCATCTAGTGGCCATATCATTTTCAAGTTTGCCCATAGATCTTTTAATTTCTCCACTGAAAGCCAATAAATAAATAACAATAAATAATAATAAGTTCGTTGATGTTAAGAACACAAATCTTTTGATTAGTGGTTTACAAACTGAACATTGGGCAATTTGAATTCATTAGGGTTAGACATTTAGTCTTGCATATAGATAAATACAAAATAGGACTGAGATCACTGACGGTTCATATTTTTTAATTAAATATCTTGGCTGAGGCGATTATATTACATCTTTTTTCGAAGTGGAGCCACCACTTTACAAAGAGTAATGTGCCGTATAATCGTCCGAACTGATTGAAGTAATTTTGAAAATCTTACTCAAAGATCTTGTTCAGTGAAACAACAACAAGCTGCAACAAAAGCGACTCACAGATTTTCCAGTGTGTATAAGGGGGTCGAACGTGTGCTGCTGATGTTCTTTGGTGCAAATCTTCGTCACACTAGAATGTTTGTTTTAATATTAATTTAACGAAAATTTGTTATAAACATGAAGAAAATCTATAGTCAGATATTCATTAATTCAGTTTGAAAAGTTCGTGAAGATGATGAAAGAGAAGTATCCTTTAGCAAAGAAAACGGCTGAAAATGAGATTTCAAATCCAATGATACTTAGTACCTGTAAAAGAGACTTAGGCGTGACTTAGAACCAAACATCAGCTTGGCATTAACTCACATAAAACCTGGGGATGTCATCCCTAGCACAGAAGTACCATTAAGTCATTACTTACTACCACCAATAACTAACTCTTAACACTGTGTGCACACGTGCTGAGACCAAAATCACAAGGAAACTAGATCTGACGAAATCGAAAGTACTAGCTTCAAAAATATCTATCAAATAACATTTCTATGGCAACTGTCAAATCTGATAATGGCAACTGGAGGTCACTGACGAACTTCCTGAAAAAAGTCAGTGGAAATTTTCAGACAGGATCGTACTATCAAATTTAAAAACCTACAAGAAGATTTATGAACAACTTTAATAAGCACACAATGAATCTTGTTCATGAGGTAAAACTATATTTAGCTCCTGTACGCTTTAAAAAAGTGTAAAAACTTAAACTAATGCACCTATGCGCAAGATTTTTACAAATATTTTATTTCACTCTATTGAGAGGCCGTAGTCCATACACATTCATTTTTTTAAAATTTCACTTAAGTATTTGAAAATGCAGCTGTTAAGAACAAACAGGTGAAATCTTTTGTTTCAAACACTTGAATGAGGCAGAATATAGGCGAATTATTACAAAATACAACTGTTAAGTTTTCACTAAACATCCAGTATTCTAGAATACCAGCCATTAGTAATTATAAGCTTTGTGATATGCACGACGCTGGAATTAACATGGATAAAAATCAACCGAAAAGAATTTGAATCACAATCTTACCAGGATTCAATATCGACGGATTAACATATTCAGAAATGAACAGATTCACTAATTAAAAATTGAACATGTATAAAATTTACTCTCAACTTTGCTGATAAATATTACTCTCCAACCAATCAGTGTCAACGGAATAAATTTGAAGGAGTTCACCTTCCTCACTTGTCTACAAAATATAATTTTAACTACAGGATGAACAAATAAGAATGTCAAAATCAGAATCAGGAAGGCAAGGCAGACCTAAATCTCTCTGAAATCATTTTGCAAATCTGATATACTCACCGTAAAGAAACAAAGTGGGATTTTCAACACCAATGTTAAATTAGCCACCTGATCTATATACGTCAGAAACGTGGCTCACGCGTCACGAAGAGCATTCCCAACAGGCCAGTGCAAACTTTTATCAACAGCTGCTTTCACTGGCTCCATACTAAAGATCAAATGACCAGAACAAATTATCAACAAGAAACTCTGGCACCAAACCAACCAAGAACATATCGTTCAACACATATGTAGAACAAAATGGAGATGGATCAGACACATGCTGAAGAGACCTCGGATGACATCGTGTGCCAGGCAATTGCTTGAGTGGAATTCGAATGGGAAACGAAGAGCTGGGCATGTATCTGAGAGTGCGATGAAGAAGGTCTAAGAGGAGTAAATAACACACTATGTGTAATCGTATAGCCAGCTAAAGAGGACCGCAGAGAATAGAACAAAGTGGAAAAATTAGTAAAAATTAAGATGAATTATGGATTAAAATTACCCTGATCTATTGAAGTATTTCTAAGCTTCTCTGAATTTAATAAATTTGTTCCATTGTTAATGAAGTCCTCTAAAACCATCAATCCATTTTCATGATCTGACAATGAGAAATGATATGTATGAGAGGTTTCAATACAATCTAATTGAGTTTTTTTACAAAATCTGGATGATTCAAAAACATCGAATTTCAGGAAATTTTTACTGAACATTGTAAACAGACATGAAATAATCGATACAATGGACAATGTAATCATCAAAAATCTACTTAAAAAATAATGTTTTTTTCGTCTCAGCCGGTTTTCATCCTCGCGCAAAGTTATATAATCTGACTGTACAGTCGACAGTGATTTCTCATTATCCTCAGATGGTATTTGCATTGGAGATAAGTAGTTCATTTTCAATTTTCAATTTTTATTTATATCTTTTCCTCCACTTCGAATAGAATGTTGATATAAAAACGTCAATTATCCTTCTACTTTCAAGTAGTTCGTTGTATACTAACAGAATGAATAAATTGTGCACAGGATATCGAAAGTTTGAATCGATTGATTAAATTATTGACAGAGCTTTAATTGAATTGCCGCAGATACTGCCTTCTTTGGCTACATGATAGAATGCATGGTAAGAAAAATTACCATTTCAAGGAATTAGGAACACATGAATCAGCAAAGAAATCCCATCTTTTTGTAACATCATTTCAAAGAGCGTTTATATATACAATGTTGACTGAGAAGAGAGGTAAGAGATTATTGTCATTCAATAAAAAGGTAAACCAAGCAATAACTATACTTGAAAACTTGAGAATGATCTTACGTAATCAAGAGGGTACACAAATGATTAGCTGAATGGTGAGTAGTCGTTTGGAAATAATGATTGATAAAAAACAAGAGAACAACAGATTGAAAATTAGTTGCTAAAATGACTGACTTACTGGTTTCAACATGGAACTCTCCACCGATGTGCAGCAGTTCGATTAACCACATTTCACTGAGCACACAAAGTCAGAGAAGACGAAGAAAATGGAAAGAGATGCAAAATAGAGACAGTAAACAGAGATATGAGGCAAAAAGAATAGTAATATCGAAGAACAATGTAGTTTTATTTGGTATTATAAGTCACAAGGAGTGGATGCATCTGCGCCAGCCATTGAGAACGATTTCGAGCCATATCACGAATTGTCTCCAGCCTTCGTTGGTGTTTACCCTCCCGAGGACCCCAACAGGCAGAAAGTCTACACCCCTCGACGTGGCTGGCTGGCTTAAACTAACTGTTGTGGATTTCTTCATTGACTGATGAAGCCACGTTTTGGCTTTTCCACCACTAGCAGTTCTTTTCCATGCTGACACTATGTCAGCTAACATTTCCCGTCGGTCGAGGAAGGCGATGAATTGCTAGGCATGCGTAACACATGTCCTAACTATCTCAGTCGATGTAAATTCACAGCCTCATCTATTGATTTCCCCTCCTTACCTTGTACTCTGCCGAGGTCTAACCTTGATATTGCTTACCCTATTATGCCTCTTAACACGGGAGGTAGAACTCAGGCACCTATGACCAAAGACAGCTAGCCAGGCTTTTCATATCTTCCACTCTCAATGGCCAGGTCTCACAGTCATAAAGGAGGACGGAGCGAACTGCTGAGCGGTACACACGCCCTTCGGTCGACAGCCACACAGATATCACATCTACGCCAGAGATGGCGTAAACTGATATGTGCGAAACGAGCCTTTCTGCATCTGAGCTGAGGTTTTTCCAGCGATCAACCCAATGGGGTTGATGCAATTTCCCAAATAAATGAAGTGGTCAACGCGCTACACCAACCACTTCACTCCTGCCTATCTTTAAGCTAGGAGTCAGTCAATGTAGTCCAGTCCTGTAGCATCATCTTACATATGGCGGGAGCGAATCGCATACTAAACACTCGTAAATTGCAGCTTAAGGTGTTTAGAAGACTCTACATTTTGTCAGCGTCCTCACCTAGGAAGCAGGCCTATATCATCTGCATATTTTAAGTCAACGAGATTATTTCCTGGTGGTAACAAGTCAAGCCCTGAGTATCTGAAGTGAGTCAGTGTTAAGTCCATCAGTACATCTCTGATGAAATTGAATAGAAATGGGGATAGTGGACATCCCTGCAGTGCATCAGTAGTTGTCACCACCTCAGATGACAACTCGACGTAAGCTCTCACCTGGCTGACTGCATGAGTTTAAGTAGAGTGAGTGCCTTGATTAGTGTAATATATTTTCTCGGCATTTCTTTTTCAGCCAAACATCGCCAGAGTACCTCTTGGTCGACATAATCGAATGACGCCTATAGGTCAAGAAATATGACGACTGTTGGACGCCTACGGTAAGTATTCCTATGTTCCAGAATCTGTCGAAGGTACGATCAATACACCCTCTTCCTGGTCTGAAGCATGCCTGGTTTTCTCGTGTTTGTGCCTCCTGTATACCGCTTAGTCTACTCATGATTATTGAGCCTATCCAATCCCCTTGTGATCACCACAGGAAGACTTGTCTTCTTTCTTGTATATCGGGATTATCAATGACTTACATCAGCTCAACGGGACTTCCTTTGTTTCGCAGACTCTGCCGAATACCTCAGTTAGCGCAAACAGTAAGCTGTCTCCACCGTCCTTAAACACCTGAGGAGTCATTCCATCAGGTCACGCAGCTTTGCCTCGTTTCAGATTGGTGACAGCTTTTGTAAAGTCAGTTAGGGACGGAGGACGTGTGTCTTTATCCCATTCAGGGAACTGTTGGATATTCGCTAAGTCGAGCGTGGCTGTAGGCCAATTGAATTGCTCCTCGAAGCGTTCTTTCCAACGGACTACATAGAGGGTGTTATACGGTTATTTAGGAAGACAAAAAGGAAAGGAACAAAAGTAGTACTAAGGTAGTAAAAGAGGATTGAGGGAATGTCTATAAACTCAAAGTTCAGCTTTCACCTTAAGGATTGCCAAGGTTGCAGCTGCATGAAGAATATGTAGGTGAAATCCTTTCGATCGACTTGGTTGTACTTTGTAAATGATTATGAGAGAAATCTCTTCTGATGGTGCATGACCGGAAGTAATAATATACTCTGGAATTGAGCTGTTGACTGTTCTACATTCTCCTTTTGATAACCATACCGCTAAGTTTTCGTAAGTGCGTGTAGATAATGTCCTGCTGCTACGGCCTATGAACTTCGCTTCACAGAGGCAGATGGATTGGTAAATACACACTGAAGTTACCAACAGCGGGATCTAATCTTTGACCTTTTGGAGGACTAGAGCATGTGTACAGAAGGCGAGACGTAGAGATGCAGTAAAGGATGTTCTACGAATTGCTGTTGATAGGTGGCTTCGGAGGATCTCATTAATTGTATCTCCCTTGAATTTCAGATTTACAATTGTTTCTTTCTTCAGCACATCCAGATTTCAAGGGGTATCGCTCCATGCCTTTATATGTTTCTTGGTGAAGGAGGAGGGATATCCAATTCTGATTAGCTTTTCTGAAGGATTCTAATTCCTTATTCAATGAATTTTCAATGCATGTACTGTAGATTCTCGTCACTTTGTTTTCATATAATCAGGATGGAGATACACGTTTGAATAAGTATCCTTTTTTCCAATCCTCGGGTATCTTGACCTCTTTCCACACCTTCTCCAGTAGTGGTGTCATCAAGTCGACTGTTGTCTCTAAGTCCATTTTCAATGCATCTACTGGGATTCCGCTGGTCCTGCTGCTTTTCCAGCTTTTAGCATCTTGATCGCCCTCAGGACTGTAAGGCAAAAAAATAAACTATGTTTCAATGACGATGTGATAAGAATAATGGGTGACAAGAGGGGGTTGAAAATACAAATAAGGAGGGGTGATGAAGTCATTGGTTGAAAGGGAGTGCTTTTTACACGTAGTTTAACGTATTTGACAAATCGCTGTTTTTGTTGTGTTATTCACTTCAAGAACATTTTTTAAAACTTTAACTTGACTTTTGTCTGTTAAGTTTTGATTTTAAACACTTATATAGTCTATATTGGGTAAATTGTCTTGGCTGTTCCAGTAGTTCATTATGTCAAAAGTACCACATAAATGTAATAGGGTGGAGTGTTACTTTTTGGTAGATGATGGAATACAGTGTAATAACTGTAAAAAGTGGTATCATAAGATGTGTACTGGATTACGTCCAGCTGCATACAAACGTTGTATTGCTCAAACATCCCACTGGATGTGCAGAATGTGTTGCTCCCCAAAGATGACTTTGATAAGGGAGGCTCATGAACTACTGTCTAAGGCTATGGAACTTCCTGATGATAGCGTGGCTAGTAAGAGTGACACAGACTGCCCGTCTGAAGATGACACAGCAAGTGCCATCATGAATGTTACCACACCGGCGGTAACTATCCCAGTTACCCCGGAAGTAAAACATACTAGGCGTTCGAAGCGTCTTAGTAAGCGAAAAGGTAACAAAACGGAAGCTGTAAACAGCATCTCAGCACCAGAGAACACTGTAAGCGAAGTTCACCATGAAGGTGGTGCAGACACTGATCTTGATTGTATCATCAAAAAGTGCAGCAGCCCTGAGAAGCAACTGCAGGCAGATGATCAGTGGGTAACGAAAATAAGCAATCGGAAAAAACATAGTAATATTGGTGGTAGGCAAATGTCTGTCACCTGTAGCCAGGCTGCATCAATAGTGGTGAGAAAAGACGTAGCCACTGCTGAACACGACAAGCTCTCCTTAGACTCTAACATAATTGTTGGAAATTTAGAAGAGTCCAAAGAATCTGATCCCGTAAAAAGGCACGATCACGACCTTAAATTAGTGAGTAGTATTGTAAGGAAGATGCTCCCAGCGAATTTCTCTGCAGTATCGATTAAAAAGCTGATTAGAATAGGCAAAAGAGATGATGAATGTTCTAATCAGCGAAGGTTGCTTAAAGTAGTCTTAGGTTCTCCTGATGAACGGAATCATCTACTGGCTAATGTACACAAGCTTGCCGGGTCAGGAATTTCAGTCAGACCTGATTTATCTCTTGAAGACAGACTTAAACGAAAAGAAGTTTTGTCCCAGCTAGAAACAAGACGTAAAAATAGTGAGACTAACCTTAAACTGGTGGGTTTTCAAATAGTCAGCTATTGGAAACGTATGCTTCCAAGACCTGTGTAGATAAGCCGGACCGCATAGGAAGCCTGAAGGTAGTGTACACTAATATACGTAGTATCGGGAACAAATTTCACGAGGTAGGTGTATTAGTGGAAGACCTTAGCCCAAGTATTGTGGCCATTACTGAAACATGGCTGGTTTCTGGATTAGATGACACACCTGAGCTATGCGGATTTAGTTGTTTGCGCAGCGACAGGGTTAAGGGTCGTAGAGGTGGCGAGGCTGCTCTGTACATCCACAACTCCCTAC